TTTCTTTTTGTCTATTTAAATGTATTAATGCCGGCTTGATGTATGCATCACGCCATCTATTATATATACACGTAAGGTACGTAAGTCAAAGATGACGTCACACATAAAGGAAACACATTAGAATTCGTAACTCATTTTTGTAACATGTAATACAATTTCAAGTAAAGTTCTAGATGATGGCCCCCACTCCCACCCCCTTCGAGGTGATCGAAAGAGGAGGTCTCTCCCAAAAGTTCGTGACGGTCTCACCCCCATAAAAAGTTATGGGGGTTCAAAGTTAATAAATATGCCAATTTTTATACATTTCTAGGCATATAAATATTTATATCTATTATAATAATATGTACTAGTTTTCGGTATTTTGCTGCGTTTGTTTAAATTGTTGACAACCCTTTTAATTCAACTGTTAACAGCGTTCGTTNAATACATAAAAATATTGAGAAAGTAATATAAAACATTATTCAAATATCTTTATCAATAGGGTAGGTTAGGTTAGGTTAACGGGTTTTGTTCAAGTGACTACCCTCTTTCGATCCCCCACCTTCACCAGGTTGAAAATTTATAGAAAAAAAATGTTTTATTGAATTTTATTTGAATTATAGTGTACGAAAATTGTCAAAATAATCAACTTTCAACCCCCATAACTTTTTATGAGACCGCCGCAAATGTTTTATGGGGTTTTACACAGGTGACCACCCTCTTTCGATCCCCCTTCCCCCACCCTCGTCTAACCCCATAACTTTTTATGGGGGTGAGACCGCCACGAACTTTTTATGGTACAGTGGTGGGGGAGTCCTCCTCTTTCGATCCTACCCACCCCACCCCCAAAGGAGCCATCATCTAGACATTTACCCAATTTCAAAAATATTTAAAAATGTAGAGATGAGTTATAGAGGTGGGGCTGCAACGTAGAGAAGTAAATATTAGGAAGAGAGTCAAATAGTCACCGCTACTTTTTAATCTATACATCGAAGACGCCATCAACATCATTAAAGACAGTACAACTGCAGGGATAGATTTACAGGGGCAAAAGATTAGTATGCTTAGATTTGCAGATGATTTAGCAGTATTAGCATCTAGCAAGGAGGACCTAGAGATAGCTTTAAATAAAATGGAAGCTGTACTGATAGATCAGTATTGTATGAAAATAAATGAAAGTAAAACAAAAATAATGGTATGCAAGGGAAGAAAAAGTAGGGAAAGAGCGAATGTAAAAATAGGATACGAAAAATTAGAAGAAGTGGCTGATTTTAGGTATCTAGGAAGTCATATAAGTCAAGACAAAAGGAGTAGTAGAGATTTAAAGCAGAGGATACGCAGGGTCTAATCGGCTTCAATAAAAAGAAGTCATTTGTATGCTCGCGAACGATTAATTTAAAAATATGGAAAAGATTGTTAAAGGTGTATGTTTGGTGCGCGGCGCTGTACGGGTGCGAAACATGGACAGTGGATGCGGCGGAAACGAAAGGGTTAGAAGCGTTAGAAATATGGTGTTACAGGCGAATGATGAGGATACCGTGGATAGAGAAGTTTAGAAACGAAGAGGTATTAGAAAAAATAGGAGAACAGAGGACTCTATGGATGTCAATAAGAAATAGGCGAAATAAGTTAGTTCTCAAGCATAATGGTCTAGTCAGAGACATATTAGAGGCAGAAACGGAAGTTAGGAGGGGTAGAAGTAGACCTAAATAGTTAAGGATGTTGGTTGTTCTAATTTTGGAAAAAATGCGAAGATTAGCTCAGGATAGGAAGAAGTTGAGGTGCGTTTTAAGACTGACGACCGTATGATGATGATGAATACATTTTACACAGAATAAAAATCATAATATAGCTTAAATTCAAAAGAGCACAAGTCATATAGGCTATAGGTTATAGGTAGATACCTGCTTTAGTAATTAATTGGTTAAATAATTTTTATCTAGACGCCATCAGCCCACGCTGTAAAATACATAATTATTTTTAAAGACCAAAGCAGTTGACATAATATCACGACAGAATGCTGATAGTATCATTCTCAGAAACTACCTGGGGTGGACATATATCTGTAAAATTATTACGGTCTCTCGAACTGACGCAAATGGTCTTTGAACAGAACCAACGTGATGTCCGTTATTAGATATAATAATATTAATTTAATAAAGATATTAAATATACAGTCCACTCGATACAGTCATTCAATTACTTCATCACGTTTGCCTTGAAATTATTAGATGGGTAAAGAGATAAAAAAATCATGTGGACAAGTAATGAATAGGTGACACATATGCAGAATAACTAACAGTTCTGATCTGTTACATTCGACACCCACGCTAACGTTAATTAATAACACTTTTTGTAATGATTTTACTATTAATATAACGTTCAATTTTTTGTAATAATTTAAGGACAAAAACTGGCATACTTTTTTCAAATTAGTTGAGACTGGCTTCTCGTCAAGATTACAACCCTTAATTACTGTTACGTTGTTCACTGTCTGGTATCTTAAACGGAAAGGATCATATTTTAATAAAGCTTTTTATAGTTAAGGACGAACAAGAAAGATTTCTAAAAATTAATGACTAAGCACCTTAATTTTCCGATTCAGTAGTAGTTGTGCCATACAGAATATGCATTTTTACTAAATTTCTTATTATTTCATTCACTACAGATATAGAATTACAATAAATAGTAACCTAAAGCCTAAAGGCGTTAATAATGAAATAATTAACTAACAAAATTAAAAAAAAAAATCGGTTGTCTGTAAATTCGGTTTACTGACGATAGTTGAACGTGACAACGTCATAAGAAAATAGTGATGGAATGGTTTCATTTTTCAAAATAAAATTTTAATTTTATTTGTTTGATAGATATTTTGTATGGATATAGACAAGGAGGTAAATGTAAATGTATTATTGTATAGCAGCTGTCCACGCGGACGCATCGCTCACTCAAGTAGGAGAGAGACAGATGTCGAACGCTGCTGAACGCGGAGCCCGATTGTGCCTCTTTGTCGCTCGTTCCGCGCTCTCGCTTGCACTTCAAGCCTTAAATGGAACGCCTCAGAGCGAGGTAACGCCGCATGAGTCATGTTTTTTCGTGCGTGCAGCCGGCTCCATCGAATTATAAGACGTTGTCACGTCAAAAAAAATTGCTCAATATACACAATCGCATATATTGTTATAATTTTAAGATGATCTTCAAATTCGTTAAAAAACTTTAGGTATATTACAATAACTGTCAATACTGCAACAGTAGCAATTTAATATAACTTCAGTTTTTATTCCATCGAAAAGGAAGTTGATTTTAATAATGAATGTCTACTATTACGCCCCATGCCTTCAAAATTATCAAAATAAACGAGATAATTCTGACCATATGACATAGTTCCAATACACAAAGAATTTCAACAAAACAATTACTTATGTATTTGTCAGTGAATTCCAAATCACTTCCCACTAAGATAATAAACATAGCAATAAGCAATTAATTAAATGTTTTACAATTTATGCATGTACAAAATTATCTACAACACCCTAAATGGATTCATTTTTAAAATGTTACTGTGACTGTAGGTACTTCCTTTTTTTTTTATTATACGGTAGAGACGTGCAAAATTATTTTTAAAAGTATTTAAATACGAAATGCAAATACTTTTTTGATTTGTTATTTCAAATTTAAATTACAAAATAGATTTCCCTTTTGTATTTTAAATGCTAATACGTATTTTCAAAATACTTTTTAGTAGTACCTATTAAAGTTTCTATATTTACTTAGTACTTATAAAATATTTTTTAAGAAAACGTTGCAGGCATTTACTCATTTTTTAAATATTGGAGCCAAAATAGGATTACAAATAACTTCATTGATGTAAAATCAACATCAATAATTTTATATTAAAGTATTTACAACCCCATTCCGTTTCTGATCACCTACACATTGTAATAAGAAAAAGAAACGGAATCCATAGTTCCTTTAGCTTTGGGTTCATCTAATAAGTGAAGTTTTTCGAATAGTTTTCTATGAATTTTGGATAATACGCATTAGCACACCACACTATTTTGAATTTCTGTTTTACACAGCTGGTGTATGTATATGATTGCGATATTGTTTATATTAATATGGAACTTCAAAACTCCATGGACCATGACATTGAACACGGAAAACAATATCACTTTAATATTTTAGATTATCCATTTCCAAGGAGTTTAGAATTTTTTGAGCTCTCTTCAGTTAAAGAACTAGAAGGCATTCAAGGAATGTCCCTTTGTCCCCCTTTTAAGCTTCTAATACGTTCAAAAGCGAATGTGAGCAACTTTAACATAACTTTTAACGGCAAAAATGTGTTTTGCAATTTCCAAATAGAAAATACATTTGGAAAAGTATTTTAAATAAAATACAAAATGCTTTTCTCAAAAAAGCATTTAAATGCAAGACAAAAATAGGTATTTTTTATTTTGTATTTGCATTTTAAATGCAAATATTTCAAATAAATCACATCTCTGCTCATATGTATTTTAAATTATTACAATACCCGTGGTCATATCATATCCACAACGTAAGTCAGTAAAATAATCATTAGAAACATCTTCTTAATTAAAATTACAAAAACCGACATAGGTATACTATTATGCGGTTGGTGGTGTACGTAGAAAGATAAGAACTTTTTCCGTTACTTAATAAGGTTCAGGTGTAGCATTGTATGAATTACCCGCATGTGCAAGGCATAAAGAGAACAGGTAGGATGTAATTAAACTCGACAAATGTCAACTGCAGCTAACCCTTGATACACGAATATAAAGTGGACTAAACTTATACATATATTATTTTAAAATAACTAATGAACTATATCTTTTATCGTTAGGTACTCTAATTAATTCTAACATTTAATAAAATTACATAATTAATGAAACAATTTTTTATTGCAACATACGTAACATACCAGTACAGTTTACTGGTACTTTCGGGTTGAGAAAATTAATCGGCTGCAGTTCACAGGGACTAATAATAAGAATTTTACCTACCTGCCCGGCTGTATCGCAAAGCTCAACCCTAATTGGTTCACCATCCACCTGTACGACCACTAAAACAAAAAACAGAAAACAATCAACATGGTGCATGAACACGTAAGTTCAAAATATTATTTTATAAAAGTAATCTAATAAATTGTATACAATTTTCTGTGGAAATGTATAAAACGTAATAGCGAATTAAATAAGGGCAAGTTATGGAAGGGAGACAGACAGGGATGCACACTACAACCGCTAATTTTTGATCTATACATCGAAGACGGGATCAATATCATTAAAGACAGTGCAACTGTAGGGATAGATATACAGGGGCAAAAGAGTAGTATGCTTAGATTTGTAGATGATATATCAGTACTAGCATCTACCAAGGAGAAGTTAGATATACCTTTGAATAAAATGAAAGCGGTATTGACAAAACAGTATTGTGTGAAAATAAATAAAAGTAAAACAAAAATAATGATATGCAAGGGAAGAAAAAGTAGGGAAAGAGCGAATGGAAAGATAGAAAACGAAAGATTAGAAGATGTGGCTGATTTTAAGTATCTAGGAAGTCAGATAATTCAGGACGGAAGGAGTAGTAGGGATATAAAGCAGAGGATAGCGTAGGGTCGTGTCGCCTTTAATAAAAAGAAGTCACTTCTATGCTAGCGAACGGTTAATTTAGAAATTCGAAAAAGGTTGTTGACAGGATAAAGAGTTTTAGAAATGAAGAGGTATTAGAAAGAATAGGAGAACAGAGGACTCCGGAAGTCAATAAGAAATAGGCCAGAGACATTTGTTAATGGACTTTATAGTATGTAGTTAACATTAAAATGTGTTTTCTTGATTTGATTAAAATTTCTTTTGTGTTTGTCTATCCTTTGTTTAAAGTATTTCCTCGTTTGTCCATTGTATGACTTTCTACAAAATCCTAAATTCAGCAAAAATAATGCAATTGTGAATAATTTTGATTCTTTTTAATAATAATTTTAAAGAGGACTTTTTGATCAGTTTTAAATTACAGATATATTATTTGATTGTTGTAGTCTGTACGTCCTAATTAGGTAGTTTTCAATTGAATATGATTCCGATTAAAATCCTTAAAAAAATTTTTCGTTTACTATTTCTGCGATTACAATTTAATTGCAATTGCACGTGTTTCTCCTTCGTATCTACAATTTAGATTAAAAATGTAATTAAAAAGGGAGACAATCACAAATAAAGCTATCACGCCATTTCTAACGTAGGTGTAAATAAGAATATTCTAGACAAATCGTAAGTAATACAAATTATCATAGTTAACCTTGATGGTGACGCAAACTTACGATATTAGTTGCAATTTGAAACACATAAAAATACATGCATTAAAAGGTGGGATGATTTTTGATAACTGATAACAATATGTGCATGACACAAATAATGCAACTGATAAAGGAGTCAAAGCATCGATGATATCATAACACCTGATTTTTACGAATATTGATTCATATGATCTATTAAGAAAATAAATAGTAAAAGTAATAATGTTTAATTGGTACAACTTTAATTGGAAAATCAATTGGGGTTAACCAGACGTCAAAAATTTTTGAGGTTTTACTACCTCCTTGTTTTTAAAATTTTTATTGATGTTTTATACGAAACATGTATTTAACTCTTTCCAAAATCAATTTTTAAATTGTTTAGAGTTTTATTTCTAATCATTGTGGTAAACCCTGTCATTGTTATAATATAATAGCAATGTCCCCTTGTACCAATTTATAACCCCATATGGTATGAAATTGAAATATTATTTTCCTTTGAATCCTATTGTTTTAAAAGGATTTAATTGATCAAATAACATGATTAAGTGCATTCGTCGTTACTAACTGCTATCTATTTAGAAGTGAAAGTTATCGCAGCTTAAAAAAAAATAACTAATTATTTACTTGAAACGCATAATAATGTACTTATAAAAAGTTTATTTGTTTACAAGAAATAAATACAAAGAAGTCAATCGTCAACGATTAGTTTAGGTAAATTGTATTATCAAAAAAGGACAAGGTACAAGACACTATGGACATCCAATAAAATAATAAATTTATCATAATAATAACTAAATTATTTAAGAAATTTTTATTTTTCATGAACATCACAAATAAATATTTGCCGGGTAGCAACAGAAATAAAATTATTACAACAAAATAAAAACCTGCTGCAATAGTGTCTTGCCCGTAGTCTATTATGTACAGAGTGTGACGAAAATGTTGTGCATAAAAAAAGTACAGATACCTATGAAAAGATTGTCCTTAAACATTTTTGTAACATAGCTAATAAATTAGCTTAACTTCCCATGCGTCAAAAATCTTAACTAGAATTGTACAGAGGAGGATGGAAAAAAGGGCGGAAGAACTATTAGGGGAAGATCAATTTGGGTTTAGAAGAAATAGAGGAACGCGGGAGGCCATTCTAGCTTTACGGGTAACAATAGAGAAAACGATAAAAAAAGGAAAGAGTGCGTACATAGGATTTGTAGATTTAGAGAAAGCTTTTGACAATGTTAAATGGGACAAGATGTTAAATATACTTAAAAATGTAGGGATGAGTTACAAAGATAGAAGAGTGATACTTAGTTTGTATAAAGAGCAACAGGCAGTTATAGAGCTGGGGATGCAACGTAGAGAAGTAAATATTAGGAAGGGAGTCAGGCAGGGATGCACACTGTCACCGCTACTTTTTAATCTATACATCGAAGACGCCATCAACATCATTAAAGACAGTACAACTGTAGGGATAGATGTGCAAGGGCAAAAGATTAGTATGCTTAGATTTGCAGATGATATAGCAGTATTAGCATCTAGGAAGGAGGAGTTAGAGATAGCTTTAAATAAAATGGAAGCGGTATTTACAAAACAGTACTGTATGCAAATAAATAAAAGTTAAACTAAAATACTGGTATGCAAGGGAAAAAAAAGTAGGGAAAGAGCGAATATAAAGATAGGAGACGAAAAATTAGAAGAAGTGGCTGATTTTAGGTAACTAGGAAGCCAGATAAGTCAGGATAGAAGGAATAGTAGGGATATAAAGCAGAGGATAGCGCAGGGTCAGAAACAGGAATTAGGAGGGGAAGAGGTAGACCTAGATTAGATTACTGTTCGCAAATAGTTAAGGATGTGGGCTGTTCTAGTTTTAGGGAAATGCGAAGTTTAGCTCAAGGATAGGAAAAAGAGTAGAGATACGTGTCCAACCAGTCTTAGGACTGACGACTTTATGATGATGAGCTAATAAATTTCCACATATAGAACATAATTTTTGAACAAACAATATGTAGTTGTGTTATTTATATGAAGTCCGTTGAAACTTTTATAGTTAATTAATTTTAAAGTTAACAAGCCATCAGATGTTTCTTTTCTTTTTTTATTAATATTATGGCGTAGCCTTAAAAGTTTGTTTTTCTTCTGTTTTTCGCGTGATCCTTGATTAAATTACATTAAAAGTAAATAAGAAAACAGCAAGCTGTCGGTAATGGTATTACTCTACTTTTGGGTTATAAAAGGCGACAGATGTAAAGCGGTTTGTTAAGTTTTTGTGGCCATCGGGAAGAACGGGCACGACCGAACACAAGACTTTTCGTAACAACTTGGCCGCTTTACAGGCTGTTAAATAACTCACAAAATTCTTTTTTTTTTTTAACGAAATATAAAAGTTTTCAGCAAGTAGCTCATTAAAAACCGCAAAGGTGGCAGTTAGTAAATAACAACGTAAATTTTAAATAAACAGAAGTGCTTTTGCTACAACTAATGGAGTTATCTTCATTTAGCATAACAAACGCATGCACTTTAATGACATTTTAACGTAATAAACTGAAAAAGTGTTATTTCAGAAGATCTTTAATGCCTATTCCTATGAGAAATACCAGTGGTCGCTTAGAGTGGTTGACACAGGGGGTGCATACTTTCAAATTGTTTATTTTGCATGCGCAACTAAGGGCATCGGCTACCATATCTTCATCACTTGTTAACTGTGAAAACACATTGTCCATTAAAAGAACAACGGAATCGCTTTTGCGAGAGTATTTTAATTTGTCACTATGTAGCTGCAGGTAGTGAGCAAACTAAGACACTTGCTCAAATGTTAGGTATATATTGTGTAGCATTGAACGTCCTCGAAAGACAGCTGTCCTCATCTCCAAGGGATAATAATGGGAGAATGAACCAATGATATATATTCATTCAGTCGCCGTTGGGTTTATTTTCTTTAATAATTCATAACAGCTACTGCCAGGTATCCCATAAAACGGTCCCTTATTTAAAACGCCCCCAATGTTAATCGTACATCATTAATTCATCGATTTTGTAGGACGCGCAAAAATATTGAGAAGTTTAACAAATTACGTTAGGTGCGATCACAGTTCGTGGGTGACCTTTGTCAAGCACATTAATGGGTGCAAGGATCAATGATCTATCTTTGCTCATTCAGACGTTACTGGGTTTGTTTTGCTTAAAAATTCGTAACAACTACTGCCAGGTATCCCCTAAAAACGGTCCCTTATTTAAAACGCCCCCAATGTTAATCGTACATCATTAATTCATCGATTTTGTAGGACGCGCAAAAATATTGAAAAGTTTAACAAATTACTTTAGATGCGATCACACTTCGTGGGTGACTTTTACCAAGCACATTAATAGGTGCAAGGATCAACGATCTATCTTTGCTCATTCAGGCGCCGATGGGTTTGTTTTGTTTAAAAATCCTCAACAACTACTGACAGGTATTCCGTAAAAGCGGTCAATCATTTCACAAGGATCCCAGTGTTACTCATACTTCATTCATTCCTCGGTTTTGTAAGACGCGCAAAGATATTGAGAAGTTTAACAAATTACTTTAGATGCGATCACACTTCGTGCGTGAGCATTGTCAAACACATTAATGGATGCAAGGATCAATGATCTATCTTTGCTCATTCAGGCGCCAATGGGTTTGTTTTGTTTAAAAATCCTCAAAATCTACTGCCAGGTATTCCCTAAAAGCGGTCAATCATTTGAAAAGGATCCTGGTGTTAATCATGCTTCATTCGTTCCTCGGTTTTGTAAGAAGC